ACCTGAGGAGGTGGCGAATGATCTGATCCACGCCAAGGAAGATGAGAAAGAAAGGTAGGAGAGTCCATCATTTCCAATGCTCTTCTCTTCATGGAACCCCAAAATCAAAGTCAAACATCATCGATTCCCACAAAAGCTTAAGTTGACCTTCAACAAAACATTCAAAATCCATCTCTATCTATAAGAGAGAGAGAGAGAGAGAGAGAGAGAGAGAAATGTATGAGTCTGTTTAACATTCATAACCTAGATGAAAGGAACAAGAAGAGGATGTAAGCTCGGATGAAGAATGGAAGTGAAGGTTACCGAAAGGAAAGTATTGGGAGTGAAAGGCTGAGGTTTTCTGGTTCCGTGTGGGAGTCTCCGAATCGAAAGCTGCCATCTCTGCCTCCTGTGTGCGAACGAAACCCTAAGCTGTGGTCTGAGCCCCCTCTCTGCCTCTCCCATCCCTCCGTACCTCATTCGGATGGCCACCTTTCCCACACACGTGTTTCCAGATTCATGCTGCGCCTATGCCTTTCCTCCTTCAGCTGCACAAGCAAACTAGGCAATGGGAATGGCAATGACAACTGCTGTTCATGTGATCGTGCATCTTGTTTCCATCAAAGAAGATATCGAGCAGGTTTGCACTTGTAGATTTATGGGAATAAATATGACGTGAAGTCAACATGCGTATGTCAAAGACGACGACGACGACGACGACAACACATACATGTAGTGGATTCAGGTTTCAACAAGGCAATATATAGGCAGAAACATGTACTGCCATATAAGGATAAAGGGGGGGTTTCAAGAAGGCAAATGCCATCAACTAATCTCACATTTCCAGCAACTGTGCCCTAATCACCTGTGTATCAAAATGGAAGGGGCACCATATGCTTCCATGTCCAAAGATTCTTCTAGTGTGCTAAGAGGAAAGCATGATGTAGATAAGAGATAAGCCATATTGTAGCTATCATGGCAGTGGCAGAGTAACTTGTAACCACAGATAGAGATAATCTTAGGAACCCTAAACAGTTCCGGCAAACAAGCACGAGAAAAGAAGAGAAGAGATGAGCTGAAACGTGCCCCCAAGAAAAAGGGAGAAAAAGAGATCTGAACTCAGTTGACCTGGAAATCTTGCAGGTAACTCAGCATGCAGCTTCGCAGGGAGCAAGGAGGAAGGCAGACACGAGAAACCCCTCGGAGGAGGTCATGATGAAAGCTTTTTGGCCTCATGTCAGGATGAAATCTGGACAAGAAGGTCGCGAAAGAAAGAAAGACAGTCGTAAACCCCCATCATTACGCCAATCTATCTGCTCAACGAGAAGAAAGAAAAGGTGTCAGCCACAGTAAGAGAAGAGGGGAGCCGAAGATAGAAACGCAACCAAGTCGATCGAACGATCGGTGCCGGGGATCGAGAGGTGGAGAGACGGAAGCGATCGTTGGGGGGAATGAAGCCTGGTCCGAGATCTCTTCACATAGATCTGCATAATCTGTAAGAGAAACGAAGGACCTCGAGCCAGACAACATTCCCCTCAAGGATAAAGCTTCCTTTTTTCCTTCTCCTTGAGCTGCATGTCCTTCCCTTTCCCGGGTCATCCAGTCTTTGTCGCCGCCTCCTCCTCCTCCTCCTCCTCCTCTCTCCCCCAACACTTCCGCCTCCTTTCATGGGGGAAGGGAGGGCAGTCAAGCTGAGGCAGCAATAGGAGGTGATGATGAAGGAAATGATTACCCTCTCCCGGAATAAGAGATGAGAGAGAGTAGTGGGGTGTGGGTCTGCCATGAACAAAGGAACAGCAACAGAAATAAAGAGAGGAGGCGTATGTGTGGAAAGAGATGGAGTAAAAGACGAGACCGAGCGGCAGACCGCGGCCCTACAGCTGGGCAGTCCTCAGAAATGACCACGAAACCATGCACCCATTCCTCCCCTCTCTCTCTCCGACCCTCTGCACGTGACGCCGGTGAGCCATCCTCCTGTAATGAATTCCCACTGCCATGACCGTGGCCTCGAAACTGCTGCCACCGTGTTCACAAACCCTCGCTGTATACATGGACTAATTGCGTATGGACGACAAGGACGGGGGTTTCGGAGGGAGATGGGAGATGTAAAACATCAGATTTGGATGGAGTGGTTGAGTTGCGCAGACCGAGGCGTACGACAGAAGAAGACTTACTGGCCACCACTTTTGTGCTGTGGATTCTTTATATTTGGTACACGCAGTGCAGCTCAGGTTTTATGTTTCTTTATGACTGCACTGCACTGACTGCACCGCATGTGGAGCAAACCCTATCTATCGGCCACTGCGTTGTTACGCCTCTCGTCAACTTCCGACCATCTTGATCGAATGAGTCGGAACCGAAATTGAATCGATGATTCGAACCGGATTGATCATCGATTAACGATTCAAATGATGGTCTTTAGCAATGGACTTATGATTGTCTTTATAAGTGAATGAAGTTTTCTCACGAATTATTTGGATTTTTTTTTTACTTTCAATATGTGATAAGGATATTTAATTTATGTTAATTAAGAGTAGGAGAACCAACGGTTCATAAGTTCATCGGGTTACTCTTATCCTTAGAGGCGCTTTGTGGAGTTCATGATCTCCTAAAGGATAAAATCATGTTGGTACACTCATCGTCCAAAGCGATTAATTTCTTGTCGATGTTGCACCAATGACGATTAAATATTAACTTATCAAATTAATGCTAGGCGAAGAATCCTAAGCCCTTGGCTCCCTTATAAGAGGGAGCACTGATAAAAATATTTAGTTCCCACGTTGGTTGAAAAGTAGGGGAACCAAGAGTTCATAAGTTTGTCGGGTCACCCTTACCCTCAAAGACGTTTTTTGATGCTCATGAAAGAACAAAACCATGAGAGTGTGTCCACCACCTAAAGTAGACAATTTCTCATGAGCTTACGGGGTTGCATCAATGATAACCAAATATTGATTTATCAGATTGGCGCTAGAAGGACAACCCTGAGCCCTAAGCTCCCCTATGGTAGAGAGCACTGATAAAGATATTTAGTTCCATATTGGTTGAGGAGCAAAGGAACCAATGGCTTATAAGTTCACCGAATCACCCTTACTCTCGGAGACGTCGAGCTCACGAGCTTCAAAAGGGTAAAACCATACGAGTATGTCTATTGCCCAAAGTGAATAATTCTTCATGACCCCCTACGGGGTCACATTAATGACTGACCAAATGTTGACTTCTGGAAGGAAGTCCTTGAGCCCTTAGCTCCCTTACGGGAGGGAGCATTGATAAGGACATTTAGTCCTACATCAGTCGAGGAGTAGGAAAACCAAGGGCTCATAAGTTTATCGGGTCATCCTTACCCTCACTCTCGGAGGCGTATTTTGGAGCTCACGAGCTCCGAAAGGGTAAAACTATGCAAGTCTGCCCACCACCCAAAGTGGATAATTTTTCGTGAGTCTACGGGGTCGCATCGATGATGACCAAATATTGACTTATCCTATTGGTGATAAAAGAAGAGTCTTGAGCCCTTGACTCCCCTATGGGATGAAGCATTGATAAGGATATTTAGTCTTACATTGGTTGAGTGGTAGGGGAACAAATGGCTCATAAGTCCACCAAATCGTCTTTACTCTCAAAAATGCTTTTTGAAGCTCATGATCGTCTTTACTCTTAAAGATATGTTTTGAATCTCATGAGTTATAAAATAATAAAATCGTTACCATAACCCTTATCTCCTCGAAGAGAGAAATAATAAAGAGACATATTTTAGAGTTCCAGAAGAGTAAAATCTTACGATATACTTATCGTCTAAAGCAAAGAATTCCTCGAGCCTATTAAATAATTTATTTATCAAAAGTAACCAATTTTATAAGGATGACGTAAGGTTTAGATAAATTTAATTAAATGATAATATTTCACGCAGCCTATTAAATATGGATTTCGAATTTCTATGAGTTATTCGAGCCCAAAGACAATCAGTTCAAGTTATGGAATGCTGCAGCAGGTGCCCTTTGAATGAAGAGGATGAACTTTTTAGGTACTATCTTATGTTCATCGTTTCACATTGCTTGTGTTCCGTGACAATTTGGCTTTGACTTGGCTCGAGTTAGAACTGATATGAGGTATTAATAGATATATTGATACGGATCAAACCTAATTTAACTTGAGAACGAGTTCAAACATCCGTGGTGAGGAGTGAACTCACCTCTCAATTATAGCTCATCGCGTGATTGTCAACTCGGTATGGAGCACGAAATCTAGATGACATGATACACCCAACAATAATAATGAATTGGAGAGAGAATATTTCACTTATACTATAGAAAAAATACTTGAGCCTAGTTTACTATATAAACCCATTAATTTATTATTATCGATATTAGTTATTATTCATTTATAACTCTACTTTCTATTTTGCTCTTAATTTGAGCATCCAAACGCTCGAGTTGAACACCCTACTTCACATTGGTCTTCTTGCATGTTCATAAACATTTTAAATTTCTATACACATTAGTTTAAAATTTAATTGAGAGATTAAGGTGTCCTCCACAGTTTAGAATTGAATTGAGTTGATAGAATCGAAGTTAATTTATTATACGATCAATGTGATTAGTTAGAATAGCTCTAATTTTGGTTTAAATTTTTAAATTTAATCATTAATGACTATATAACACTAAGAATTATGGTCTTATTGAATCGGATTTGATTGTCTAACACATCAAGAATTTAGATCCGACCTAGACCGGACTTTTGAGCTCATCACAGCTCATGTGTCGAGGAGACACACTAATTCGACGTATGACCCTTCAAAGAATACGTCGGAGGTATGTTTGACAAATATCCTTAAATATTTAAATATATAGAAATGCAGGGATTAGTGGAGCTCGTGCCGACACCTAAGTCAGCATGATCGTGGGACCATCTTTTTGACCGACGTGTCAGGTTGACTTTTTGGCCCACAGCGATCCGTAACGTGTCAACGTGTTTGAACTCTGTTATTGATGGCTATCCGTTTTGATGTGAGAAAATAGGCATTTATCTCAATTAAACCTTCCTCTATCTAATCATTTATTTGCATAAGCATACAAATGGTGAACTCCCCGAGTCGATAGTGCCGTCACACATTCGTCAGTTATTTTGCCCAAAATGACCCCAGAAAACCAACTCCCGGTCACTAAACCTGAACCGGAAAAAAGCGGCCGGTCCATGCGGAAAATATTGGGCTCCCTCCTCAGTACTCGACTTCGTCGATGTACGGCTTGATGAGATGGATCCTGGACCGGCTAAGTCTCGGGCAACCGGTTAGGTTCAGCCGGTTCAGGCAAAGGCCGCCGTACTCGTCCAGTGCTTGGAGCGTCCGGTCCGTGATTTCGGCGCAGCCGGCGAGCGAGAGTGACTCGAGGTCGGAGGGGTCCCCCTCCACCAGCTTCTCCACGGCCTCGTCGCCGATGTTGCAACCGCCCAGGTCCAGCTCCACCAGCCTGCCGCACCGCCTCGTGATCACCGACGCCCCGCGGTCCGTCACGCGCCCGCACCCCTTCAGCGCCAGCGACCTCAGCCTCCCCTTGCACTCCCTCGTCACCGCCCATACGCTCCGGTCGCCCAGCCGGGTGCACCCGCTCAGGTCCACCCTCGTGATCTCGTTCCACCCCTTGAGCTGCTTCAGGAAGGAGGTTATGCCTCGGTCGGTGATCGAGCCCATGCGCACGAAGCTGACGTCTGCGACGCTCTTGCAAGCCTGCCCGACCCAGACGACGAAGCCGTCTCCGAGCCCCTCGCACTCTTCCAGCTTCACGGTCTGCAGCGCCGGGCATCGTTGAGGAAGAAGAAAACAGGGCTCGCCCTCTTGCTGCTCTGTTCCATGGCCATAGAAGCCGCAATTGACTAGATTTAGCTCCTTCAAGGTATGGCTGCAGTTCTCCAGAGCAAACACCAGGCCTCTGTAGCTGAAAACTCCCCTGAAGTTTTCCAGGTGCAGATTCTCCAGTTTGACCGCTAGTTTCGTGAGCGCCAGCAGACTTAAATCTGTGAGCGACGGGCAGCTCTTCAACGAAACCTTCGTGAGGCCGGCGAAGCTGATGGATGGTGATGCCCTCACGAAGCATCCGTCCGTCAACCCCTCGCAAGCGTCGAGCGAGAGGGCCCTGAGACCGCTCGCCTCTGCGATCCAACTGTAGCCTATCACCGATGAACCCCACACTTTCTCCAGAGACAACAGCTTGATTTCCTTGCGGTGGCATGCGATTGCTTGGACAACCTTGTCGCCTAACTTCATCGACGAGATCTTGAGGGTCTCTAGCTTGGTTTGCAGGACGACGATGGAGAGGATCCCGTGGTCGGTGATGAGAGGACACTGGGCGACGGCGAACGAGTTGAGCAGAGTGGAATGCCTGGAGAAAGCCACCAGCGAGCGATCGGTGACGCTCGGACATGCGGTGAGCCTCAACGATGCCAGGTTCGGGCATCCGGACGCGATAAGCATCAGGCCACGGTCGGTCACCGAGAATGCATTGGTCAGCTCCAGGTTCTTCAGCGCGCTGCAGTTCTGTGCGATCGCCGCGAGGCCTCGGTCGCTTACTTTGATGCAGTTGTGTAAAGCGAGAGATCGTAGGTCAGTGCAAGCCTGTGCGATGACGAAGAGGCCGACGTCCGAGATGTGACGATGATTCCCCGCATGTTGCAGAGGAGGAAGAGGACAAGATGGAAGCGTCTCCATCACGGATAGATGGGTCAAAACCTCACATGCGTCGATCCCAATGGCCATGGCTGCCAGCCTCCAGTCATTTGCCTCACTCCCCTTGATGCATCTGGACATCTCTTGCCTCGCTTCCGGTAGAAGCACGGCGTTGGCTCCGAACTCAGACCTTCGCATCGAGGCCTGCAGCGCCAACCATTTCCTCGACACCGCAGCGCAGCGACAGCGATCTCTCGGAGCCGGAAGCAAACTAAAGATAAGCAAGAGGCATTCGTCCGGCAGATCGTCGATAAGATCCTGGCACAGGGCTCGATCATCTCTGCTCTCCTTCGCAGGCGACCCTATCTTCCTTCGCTTTCCCGGTCGTCGATGCGAATCACCCATGCCACCGCAACTCCCTTCAACTGTAAGACAAGAAATACGTAGGTCTCTTGCTGTTCAGCCAAAACAAGCGACGACCTCATCGTTGACCACCATACAGAGTTCGACAGGACGAGGAAAACCTTACCTTGAGATTCAAGTAGGATGCACATGGCTCAGAAGCAACTCTTGGGATCGAGGGAGGAAGAGGAGAGGACGAGGTGCTCGGGCAGGCGCACGTCTCTGGAGGAGGATGGGGGTAGAGAACCGTAGAAGGAACAGGGGACGGAACATTGAGGCAATGGGCGTTAGGAAAGCCAATGGCCGACGCATACCACATTCCATTCACCTGACCGGAAGTGCCACAAATCAGTCCAAATCTGTCATTCTTCTATTATGGTTCAACGAATCTGTGTGCCCTACTAGTCGTAGACGCCGAACCCACGCGACAGCCCTCCATCAACCATCTCCTTCCCCATTCTGAAACGTGTCTCACCCAAATTGGCTGTATTCTTCCTCCAGAATGGCCTTTTGGTCGAGAACAGACCTCACCACCGCGCCAAATGACCACAAAAATTAGCTCAGCTGATTCCTATCTCGATTAAGATCCACGGGATCTCCCTTCCCTTCTCCGGTAATGCCCTTTATCTTATTCATGCATGCACTTTGAGAGACATCGTTGGCTAGAGTTGGCAAGACTTACACTTTTAAATCTTGTCATTTGTGATTCCCGTTCATTGAATCCTACTGAAGTGCACGTCTGCGTGTGCAAAATCTATCCTGGATTTTGAACGTGAACTAGTAAGAGTTCATGTTAGTGTTCATGCTACTTTGCTGTCACCAAGCGGGAGGGGGTTGTATGCTTGCCTTCTTCTGGCAAACAAAGGCTAAGAGAAAGAACAGGAAGCATTCCTGCCATGGCTAGGGGTTTTGGTGCAAGCAAAAGTAGGATGAACAATGACATGGGCTCTTCCAAGTTGACACTAAAAATCGAGGTTAGATTACGCAGACGAAGACCTTTTCTTATCGTCAATGTCCATGCATGACAGTAACACCAACCGGATTCAATGAACAACAGCAACCAATGGCAAGTCTTAAAGGTTTAACAGCCCATAGAAAGTAGTGAGTTCGCCAGCTCAATCCAACTATGTCTTTCAAAGGTGCAAAAGGGGAAGAACCGGAAGAGGGAAAGGAGATCCATGTTGGAAGACACCTACCCCCTTTGGTTAGCTGGATCTTGATCCGGTCGAGGAAGAAACTGGAGCAGCCATATATGATTTCAGTGATCGACATGTTCTAAAAAGGACATGGGAAAGCTTGGAAGATAACTTGGACATGTGCAGTGCATTCCTCAGGGCATGAGGTCAAACAATCTTGCATCTGTGTTCTAACCACACAAACAAAGTTGTAGCAGCTACGGGTTGATGAGAAGCTGGAAACCGAGGCTAAGCACTCAAGCTTGGAGCCGCCTCACGTCACAGTAAAGCTGAAGACCGAGAACACTTCGTTTTTTCTTTACCTAACTAAAGAATACTTATCTTTTTCTCTGATAGGAATGCCAACATATTGGATTGATCATTAAAACATTTTAGATATTTAAGTTTTTTTCAAAACTATAATTATTAATAATTTGTCACGATTAATATGATTTTTAATTGTTACTAGTGAGAGGAATATATATATATATATATTTCATATCTCTTATTTTACTCTTGTAAAAGATTACAAAGAAGATGTGTTCTACAAATAATTGTCATTATTTTGCTAATTATGGGTGAAATTTGTTTATTAAACAATATGAAAACATTCGTAAAAAGATTGTTTTATATAATGTTAGTCTCATAACCATCATCAATTATACGGTATTTGATAATTTAATAATATAATATTTCCTTTACATTAATTGACTTCACATGTCAAATCTTAATTATAGAAAAAACTATATTAATATATTTTATTTAAATTAAATGGACGGCTGAGACGAGTTAGAAGAGACTGTTGTAAGCTTCCAACACAGCATTGATACGGGAAGGCTACGGAGATCTGGTACGTACACGTACCTACCGATGCCTCTACAAAACAGGAACTTTGGGGAGCCGTATGCGTCGCTGCACATGGAGACACTTCGATTGCTTTCGTGGTTTCTAGTAATGAGTGTGATGAGACCCGCGACGTGATGTGATGTGATATGGTGTGATTCCCGTCTACCGTCTGCATCCTCTCTTCGATTTGGCACGACCTCATTTGAAGGCTTCGGCTGTGATAGAAATTTATATACATACAAAATATTATATATATATATATATATATATATATATAGAGAGAGAGAGAGAGAGAGAGAGAGAGAGAGAGACAGAAGAGATGGTATGCTTCACGCCTTTCTCACACGTGACGCAAAGTCCTCCTGGACCGCTGTCATCCCCTTGGCACGTGCGGGACGACACGTCATCAATCCGATAACTGCATCGTTCGAGACCAAGCATTTAAATCATTCGGATCCTAATAGGATCCGACCCGTTATAAGTACCCCTCTAAAAGATACGGGGGCAAAGACGATACTTCGAAGGTTGAAAAAGGATAGATGCGTAAAAACGATATAAGGCGAGACTGCGTTCGTCTCGTTTCATATGAGCTATTAATACGACCCACCGCCCTTGCTCTTCTTCTCTGTGGTTGTGGTTTGCGTTATCCTTCTTCTAAATGGCGAGCATACGGCTGAGTGCGCGACTCGTCGTCTCTTAATCTTCCCTTGTTCGGATCGATCCGGTTTGGATTTGGGTTCGGCTTTGCTCCTCGCTCTCTGTTGCTCTTTCTCTCTCTCTGGATATACGTGGGTGGGGATGCACCTGCACTTGCCGCATAAGATCATGGCGGGGCACGGGAGGCGGAGGGGGGAGGAGGAGGAGGGGATCCGGAAGGGGTGGATGGGGATTAGGGTGGGCGGGGAGGGGGAGCAGCCGCAGCGGTTCGTGGTGCCGGTGGAGTACCTGAGCCACCCGCTCTTCGTGCGGCTACTCAAGGAGGCCGAGGAGGAGTACGGCTTCGACCACCAGGGGGCGATCACCATCCCCTGCCACGTCAAGTACTTCCGCCGCGTCCAGAGCATCATCGACCGCGACTGCAACCAGGTTGCCGCCACCGTCAATTACCACCACCACTTTCACCTTTGCTTCAGGGCTTGAACGAGTCCCTGACTCCGGGTGGGTGTTTGTGCTGGGTTTGGAAAGTGTTAATTCCAAGAGAATCCTTCCCTCTCTCTCTCTCTCTCTCTCTCTCTCTCTCTCTCTCTAGTCATTAAGACTGGTTTAACGATGACATGATTTGGTGATCAAGTCGAAGAATATTTCTTGCTCATTTTAATTTCGCATGAGCCAATTTCATTCAGCATGGTCATAGTTGAACGTTTCACGTTGCTCCCCCACTGCAAAAGATCAATGTTCACAGTTGCAATGGAACTCGTGTGGCACATTGCAACCTATTTTATGACCACAGAAGGCATCAAAGATCCAAATGCTCCTTTCAGTCCGGGAGACCACATCGCTCACACATCTGCCGATGCGCCTAATCCTGGCCACGGCAAGAAGACAAAAGGCTGAAGCTGATATGTTCTTGATGCCTCAGTACGACTGACTCGGTTCATTTCCGAGTCCTTATAAACCACATTTTACTTGAATTAATGGTTAGTAAAATTTCTTCCTTTTCTGTCATGAAATTATATTCTGATTACGACAATTTGAGTCGGAAATAGATCATGCTAGATTTCTGGGCGTTTTTGGACATATTTCGAATGCCATTAGATGATGGTTTGGCACATTGAACTCGTTCGATGACAGCAACACCTCACCGGTGTGCCCACCATGTTCCGCGAATACCGAGCGAGCCAATCCGGTCCATTTCATCGACGTGATTTGTGGTCGTTCTCGATCGTGCCAAAAGGGCGGGCCTAATCGAAATGTGGTTCGCTACCACCTCGATCGATCGGTTCATTCCAGCATACGTTTGGCAACGATTTCGTGGAGCGAGCGGCCTACGACAGTTATGAGCGAGGAGGGATGACTAACAAACAGGGAAGGGAACACAAGATATTGATCGGAGGAATTCGCAGAAGCTGAAGCGGAGTGTGATGTTGTTGGCATCAGTAACAGGGAGCGTAATGCAAATGGGTGTTCGACTTGAAGCTTACTCCCTCCGTTTCAGGAGGGACACCACATCCCTCTCAGAACCGACAACAGCACCGAGGAGGTCGACCAGAAATGTCAGATAGCGCTGAGACCAAATACATCGCGTTCTCTCTGACAAGGAACGATTGCGACGCTGCGCTAACCTCGCCTCGCTGCTCGGCAAGGGTGACGGGGAGAGGGCGCCGATCGTCGACGCTTTGGCTTTGGTCAGCTGTGGTTGGTGCTGTGTTGGCCGTCGAGTTGGATTGACGCCTCGACTTGCATGATAGGTGTTTGTGCTTTTGTCTGTTAGGATTGAATTGAATAGAAACACTCGATAAATCTTTTCTTCGTGATAGGTCGAATCAATTTTGCCAAGTAGAATCACCCAACCATGGTTGCGACAGAATGGAGTAGGAGATCGATAGCAATCATCTACGAGATTCCAGAGGAAAAAAGAAGCGCTCGATTGTTACCACAATCGAAACATCCACCGACGTCATAAGGATCGACATACTACTACTTCGATCGATCGACGATATCAATTACAGATCAATCAAGATTGTTGGAAAGAATAACTTCCACAGGTGTCTCGACAACAGAACATGAACAAGGCAGTATCAATTAAGCTTAAATATGGAGATGAGACACTGGAATAGAGAGGTTGAGGTGCTAGGATTGGGAACCTTTGGATCGGGAGGCGAGCATCTGGTTGTAGGCCTCCAGCTCCTCGTAATAGATATCCCAGACGCATCGGACGCATCCGCTCCCGCAGCAATCGCCGGGCAGCGGCTTCTCGGGAGGCGAGGGTTCCGCCTCTGGCTTAGGTTTCTCTTCCATCTTCTCCGCCTTATCGCCATCGTTGTCAACCCTAGCAGATTCCATGGTGGAACAAGAACGAGGAGGAGGAGGAGGAAAAGGAGAAACGATCGGAAACCGCGGAGGACGATGTTGGCGAAGTGGGAAGCGAAGACGAGGAGGAGAGGGGCGGAAGAGGACGAGCCGGGGGGCGATTTGGGCACAGACGGCGGCGCGCATCCGAGGCGGCCCGGAAGTCCGCACGCCTTTCCCTCTTCGAGGTCGGCAATCGGCCTTCCTTTCCTGTTGGGTGAACCGGGTACAGGGCCCACGCCAGGTGAGTCTGTGCTTTGAGCATCGCGAATCATGATGATCATTCCATCTTGACTGCGTCACCACCGTTGATGCACGTGGTTTCCATTATTTACCGCAACGGCTCGACTGGTTCGATCGGGTTCTCGGATTTGAGTTCAACTAGAATGGAGAAATCTAAATCCGACTCTGATTCGGGTAGGGTTCGACGAATTTGTAGCCCAACCCATATTAAACCCAAATCTTGCCTGATCCGATCTGCAATTTGCCACCATCGTCTCTCGCATTATTAAATCAAATAAAATCATAAAGAATATTTAAATCTCTTATGAGAGGACAAGTATAACATGTATTGCTTGGGCCTACCATAGTTTTTTTTTCTCATAATATTTAAACAACTTATCAACTAACTTAGTTACATTCGAATCCTATCTTTGTCACAAGCGCACACACACATATATATAGTTATAATTAAATTTTAAATAATATATAATTTGTAAAGTATATATGAGTGTATTTGAGAATATATTTATATTTATATATATATTTGAACAAAGATATTTGAGTAATTGTGTAGTTATGGAATACGTTGAATCTCGGATTTTGGTGATGAAACCAATTGATAGTATTTATCTAACGTGCATTTAACTGACGCAGGACTAGCTTCGATCAGAAGAGGCAAATCGATTAAAGTAGAAGGAATCAGACGTTGGGCCGGAGTAAACATGTCAGAAGATTGGACGTCGAGCCGGAGGATCGGTCGACGTGTCGGCAGAAGGTTTCGGTTCGTGAATTCGAGCATCGGGCCAAGAAAATCGGATATTGCGCCAAGGAGATCAGATGTTGTGAGAAGGCAACATGCTGATTGAGCAATACGTCGAAGGAGAGGACGATGCGTCGAAAGATCGGACGAAGCGTCGGAAAAACCAATGATATGCCAGACAACAAAGGGTTTGCTTGTAATCGATTATGACTAGATCGAGTTAGTTTAGAGTTTAATTGAGTCGGTTTAGAATATAATTAGACCAACTCAATTAGGGGCCAATTGGACCCAAGTTTAAGTTGTGTTGGGCCAAATGAAAAGGCCCAAACAGTGACCCAACATGTGGCACCGTTGTGACACAGTCTCCGAGATTGTATCAGGCAGTGGTACTGCTAGTCCAAGTGGTGGTACCACCAAGTGTCAGTGCTGCAGGCGGTGGTATCACCCGTACTCGGGAAACCCAGGATGAGACATTTTTAGGCTCCAAGTTTGAATCAATTTGAAGCCTATAAATACCTCTCTCATCTCTGGTTAACTCACACATGAATAGAGAGTGAAAAAGAAAGTAAACACTACTATAATCTTGTGTAAACTCATCTAAAAACTCTGAGTGTTAGTATAGTTTTAAAGAGGAGTGAAGGGGGTGTAAAGGTTCTCTCTTAAACTTGTGAAAAAGAGAAGATGATTGTAAAAGGGTAGTTGATCTTCGCCCATTGAAAGAAGATCGTCAATGGATGCCGGTGGCCTCAACGGAAGAGGAATCGATGGAGTAGATGTAGGTCATGACGACCGAACCAATATAAATCTGTTTGCATTCTTGTTCTGCTTTTAATTCTCATATTGCAAACTGATTTCCTCACTTTATTTGCTCATTACATTCTTACAAACGCTTTAAAGTTAAACAATTTCCGAGATCGGTTTTCAACGAACGAAGATTTTATAAAACTGACGTTTTTATCAGTTGCACTAATTCACCCACCCCCCACTCTTAGTGCTGACTTATTCCTAGCAGTTGGTATCAAAGCCACAGTTTTTCTCATTTGGTTTAACACCCAAGAGAAATGACTATTTTCGGCTTTCAAGGGGGCTTTTTCATTATTTGTCCTCCCATGTTCAATGAGACGGACTACACTTATTGAAAAACTCGAATGAGAGTTTTCTTGCTTTCTATGGATTTTAACTTATGGAATATCGTTGAAAACAATTTTCAAAAGTCTTATACTTCAATGAACGAATAGAATGATTTGGAGAAAACATTTTCTTTGAATGCTAAAGTAATGAATGCTCTAGTGGCTTGAGCAAAAATGAGTTTAATCATGTTTTTACTTATGAAACAGTTTTCGATATTTGACATACACTTAAAATCACACACGAATGTGCTAGTAGAGTAAAGGATTATAAGATAAATCTTTTGATGCATGATTTTGAACTATTTCGAATAAAGCCATGCGAAACCATTGTTGACATGTACACCCGTTTTATGGATGTCGTCAATGGCTTCAAAGCTCTTAGCAAATGTTTTTCAAATTTTGAACTTGTTAATAAAATATTGAGATCCCTTCCAAAGAGTTGGGACCCTAAAGTAACGGTCATTCAAGAGGCCAAGGACTTAAATAAATTTTCTCTCGAAGAATTTATCGGGTCACTAATGACCTATAAGATGACTTGCAACGCTCGTGAAGAGCTTGAGAACAACATTCCAAAGAACATGAAAGATTTGAGACTTAGAACAATTGAAAACTACTTGAGCAAAAGCTTAAGTGATGGTGAACTTGAACTCCTCACTATGAAACTTAAAAAGTTTATTAAACAAGAATTAAAGAATAAAAATGAACTTAAAAAGAAGTTGATAAAGAAGAAGAGAGCACTCAAAATGACTTGGAACGAAACGAGTTCATCCGAAGATGAAGAACAAACCAACAAAGGCGAGGTGGCAAACTACACCTTAACGACTTTCGATGATGAGGTAATCAAAACTCATTTGCTTTATTTCGAAATTACATGATGCATTTCATGGGTTGTTCTTAAATTAGTTTAGAAAATTATCATGAAAATTACATGTTTTATGATAAATGAATAAAATATTAGACTTAAATCTAATGCTTAAGATAAATCCTACGTATGTTTTTAAGAAGCATTAATGTGTGTCTTAATGATTTTCGTATTACTTTTCGATTTTATTTAAAAATATTTTATGATTAATGAAATCATACTTGATGATTTAATGATGTATAATGATGATTTGAAATTATGTTTAATGATTTTATATTTCAAAATTATGCATGATGAATTTTATGATTTATGGATTATCGATATTTGCCATAATG